CTCTCTGTCATGTTTTGGTGGGTATTTCTTCTGACGTAGAACCCCTGGGGTGCTTGTTAAGGTGCAGATTCCTGGATCCGTCTCCACTCAGACTCTTGGAGGTGATTGGGATCTGTAGTGCTAGCGTCCTTGCTGATCACTTGTGTGCTGGAATTGGTAGAAAGTGTTTTCGCTTCCTACGTGTACACATCTGAAGGCAGTCCAGGGGATAAACAGAATAATACTAGAACTTTCTTTTTATATTTATTTTATCTCATTTAAAAGTTTCTCTTATTTTGCCCTATATATGATATATCAAAACATGAACGAGTATGTTTATTAACATGAAGATGTTTATTGACAAAAAGAAAACATATTGGTGGCACATGCTTAATTTTTTGAACTGGTGGTTTTCGAAGCAAATAAAACAAACCCCTCAAGAAACAGAAATGGAGATTGTTGCCCCAGGGAATTCATTTTGAAGTTTCTTTGAACTGGAAAATAAAATTGCAGCATAAATCATTGGTTCTATCACTGAATTGTATGTATGTGGATCATTTATAAGTTGAACTCTGCTTAAAAGCAGTGAAACTTTATAAGGTTTAAAGCATTTTTCAAAGCAATCATATAATCTTTGTAACCCATATACATGTAAAAGTTACCTGGTTTCAGTAAAACCTTGTCAAGATCTAGCCATTTAGAGCCTTTCAAAGAGTGCTATCTTCCTCAGAATGCTGACATCGTTCGATCCTGAGATGAAGTTTTGAAATGCTGAGTGTTCAGTGGAAAGGTAGAATTCACTTGGGCAAATAAATAATTCACAATTAAATCTACCATTTAAATAATTAATGAAGTACCCCTTGTTATTCACATGACCAGGTATTGAAGCAATATTAGAATGCTGTAAGTCACATGCTAGCGTGGACTCTTGCTCTAAGCTCAACCTCCCTGAGAACAGAACCGCAGAGGTATAATGGTGCCACACTGTGTAATTCAAATTGTAATGGGCTTTGTTTCCATGAGGGTTACGTTCAGGCTTTGTCTGTGGCTCTACAGTGATTCTGCTGCAGGATTTTCATGGAGAGAGATGGACACTGAGGCCTTTTTCCTAGGAGGCAGCTTTATTCGGGAGGGCACTGACTCGGTGGATTGGTATCCAACATGGCATAGTTGCACCCTTTCATGCAGTTTTTGTGTCTGTCTCCCTTATATGGGTGTACACTGACATTATATAGTCTGATTGGGTATACGTTAACGTTCTACTGTCTGGTTGGGTATGATTTGTGTTACAGTTACATCAGAACAACGCACGCGTACACAGAGGCTGATGCATTACTTTGTAAAAAATTCCCACCCCTACACACCTGGAGGAGCCCGACCACAGTTGAGAGTGTAAAAACGTGTCTTCAATGACTTGCCTCTTGTGCTTATTGTAATATAATCTCTTTTTTTATCACTACAACTCCTACTAATGCAGGATTTTTAACTTCCTTAGCGCCTTGTCATTTCTGATAGCTTTCTTTATCATTTTCTTTCTGTCATTTTTGTAGCTCCTGACAGTTATTACCTCTTTTGTTCTTGACACTCTCTCTTGTAGGTAATCATTACATAAAGCTCTTCTCATTTCTGCTTAATCTTTGAACCTCTTTGTTATAACAAGCCTGGTGTTCTGACATCATTTTTGAATAATCAATTTTTTTCCTCCATTGCTTCAAAAGCTTCTTTAATTATACACTAAAAATCTACCCCAAAAATCGAACTATTTCTAATTTGCCTGTTCTCCCATTGATTTGTTTGTCTATTCCTGCTCTTGTTGGAATTACTATAGCTTTATAACAGGTTGTGAATTTTGACTGAATGTGATTCCTTTCATCAGCTCTTGCCTTTGTTTCAAATCTGTTCTTCTAGATCAACTTTAAAAATGATTTGTCAGATTCTATGAAAAAAATCTTTTGGGGGTTGAAATGGAAATTGTAATGAAATTTTAGATTAATTTAGGAGAATAACTTTTGGCAATAGTCTTCTTATCCAAAAATATATTAAGATATTCCATTTATTCAGATTCTTGCATATGTGTCTTTCAGTGAAATTTTAGTTTTCTTCTCATTTTCTAAAGGATTTCTATATTTTTTAAAATTTCCTTATTCTTAGGTATAATTTTTTAAAAGCAAACTAGTGTAAATGGGATTTTTAAAAATCTATTTTATATATTTGTTGTTGCACGAAAAAGTTATGAGTTTTTGATAATTTATCTTGAATTGATCCACCTAGTTTTCCAGTCACTTATCTTGTATTTTCTAGATAAATAGCATATCCTGTGCAGTTAGCCTGTGTTTTCTTTCTTTTCTCTCTGCGTCCTTTCCCAGTATGATGTGGAGAGGCAGTGTGGTTAGCATTTTGTGTTGTTCTTGATTTTGATGCAGATATTTCTCATATTCAATGCTACCTATCATATGTATTGTGTTTTTCTGGTGGATATCTTTTATCCTCTATTGTGTTGAGGATGCGTGTTCTTCAATCCCTAACTTTGTTATGAGTTCTTATCTACTTATGCCTGTATTCTCAGCAGTGTGGGAGGCTGAGGCAGAAAGATTGTAAGTTTGAGCCCAGCCTGGGCAATTTAGTGAGCTAATGAGACCCTGTCTCAAAATTAAAAAGAAAAGGGGCAGGGGATTTAGCTCAGTACAAACAAAACAAAACAAAACAACAACAACAAAGCACACATATCATACCAGAGTGCTGGCTTTTCTTTAATGTCTTTTGGGCAGCCATTGAGATATTTTATTATTACTTTTACAGATTTCCAAATGGTGAATCATCCTCATAGTCCTGAGATAAACCTTACTGGGTCATTTTTTTTATTCTTTTAAGAGACAACTGGCCTGGGGATTTAGCTCAGTGGTGGCAAGCCTGCCTCACAAGGGCAAGTTCCTGAGTTTGATCCCTGGTACTGAAAAACAAACAAACAAACAAACAACAACAACAAAAAAGAAGAGACAACTTTTACTCATTAATATTTTACTTAAGCTTTTTTATCTGTATTCGTAAGTGGCCTTGGTCCATGCTTGTTGTGTGCCTGTGTATATATATATATGTGTGTGATCATGTGGATGTATACGTAACAGTTTGATTTCAGTATATTGCTAACTTCATAAGATGAACTCTAGAAGAGTTTAAATAAAATGAAAAGTTTTAAAGTTACAAACAGTTTCCTGATGTTATGGTAGAACTCACATTGAATGTTCTAATTGTAGGGTGGAAATATTTCACTAACTATAACAAAAATTTGGCTGTCCTTACTTTCCAGACCTACTACTTCATCGGTCAAATTTTGTACTTTTGTATTTTCCCAGAAGTTCATCCATTTCATTTAGTGTTTGAAATTTTTGGCTTACTTGAAATTGTATAGTTTGGAAGATTGAGATTCTTTAAGCTGATTTAAAGTGTTTTCTTATAATTTTAAGAATATCTTCTTCATTAGCAGCTGTGTCACCTTGTTAATTTCAAACACTGTTTTTGATATTTCCTTTTATCCTGTGATCAGAATTTCCAAAAATGCGTATCAATTTTATTGGCCTTTCTGATTTGCTAGGCTCTATTTTGTTGTTTTAAATGGACCTCAAATTAAACGATTGCCTCAGTACCTTGTCTTTACGTTGTTTGTATCCATGTGTTTTCACATAAATGTCTTCACTGTAACACATCTCTATCTTGTGATTTTACTTCTGCATTCCTATTTAACGCAAAGATTCTTCAAAAGAGTAGTATAAATATCTATGTAGATGATTTCCCTCTAGTTTTTAGTTGTTCTGTTTTACTTTAGCTGCCTTTAGAAGAAATAATGTAACCTGTTTCTTGTATAATTATGTACTTTTGGAAATTATTAAGATATAGCCTGTTGTCTTAATATTTATAATTTGAGACAAAGATTTATAGATTATCTCACATATCAAAATTTTAAATTACTTTTATAATTGTATAGTATGCTGAAAATATGTTTCCTGTATCATTCTCCTCATGATAGACATTTAGTTTGTTTATATTTTCTTTATGATATAAAAGAGTTGCTGTGAACATTCATGTACATATATCTTTGGTTAAAAAATTATTATTTCTGTAGTATAAAATCCTAGAATGAACACCCTTCCCATGGAATAATTTTAAAAATTCTCAGGTTTAATTTTAAGAACAAAAATAATAATAACAAATAATAATACATCTTCAGTTTGTTTATGTCATAATTATTTGGAATTTTGATTTGTTAAACTCAATTGAATTGAACACATACCAAATACCATATTCATCAAAATGCTTTCCTTTCTCTCCTCACTCTCTTCTTCCAGACCTTCTTTTTTTGAAACAAAATCTTGCTAAGTAGTCCAGGCTGACCTTGAACTCACTATGCAGCCTAAATTAGCCTTGAACTCCTGGTGATTCTCCTGCCTCAGCCTCCTGAGTGCTGGGACTATAGGCATGTGCTACCACATCCCAGCCCCAATTTTTGTTAGTTTGTTTTAGGATTTTAGATGCAGGTAATAGTTGATGGTTTGTGTGTTTTTAAAAAAATATGTATTCTCCTTCAAGATTATATGTGACTTGAGGCAGGAAGATCACCCTAAGTTCAAGGCCAGCCTGGGCTTCTTAGTGAGTTCAAGGCCAGTCTGAATTAGACCCTGTCTAAAAAAAAAAGTTACATCTGACATTTTCAGTGATTTTTGACCACATCAGTAATTGATCTGACTTCTTATTTAGCCCATTTCTTGCCACCAGTTCTTTTACTATTTTCTTCTTTCCTTATTCTTATTTTGATTCTTCTTTGTTGGTTATTTCTTTAACTTTTGTCAAGAAAGCTTTGTGCCTTTGCAAATATCTTTATGTTACTTTTGCTTATGCTTTGTTGAGAATTAATTTTTGTTATCTTTAGAAATTTTCCTTCCAATTTATGCCTATCTCTCAAGTTTTTCCTCTCCTGAGGAAGTAATTTTTTTCTATCATCTTTAATTTTGTTTTTCCACTTTCAGGTCGAATTTATAGGCACTCTCAGCAGCCTTTGATTACACATGAAAAACATAATGTGACAGACTCTCCAAAGGATGTAGGAGGATCTCGCTCCTCACTCCTTTTGAAGGTTCATGGTAAGTTGCATGTGTAGAAAAATCACTGTGTGGTGGAATAAATTTTTTTTTTTTTTTTGATTTTTTGAGACAGGGTCTCACTATGTAGTTGAGACTGCCCTGGAACTCACTGTGTAGCTCAGGCTGGTCTTGAACACAGCGATCCTCCTGTCTCAACCTCCAGAATGCTGGGATTACAGAAGTGCACCACCACGCCCGGCAGCATAAATTCTTTTGAAGACTCAGCACTGGCTGGATTAGGAATGTTGCCAGCAGAATAGAGCACATTTGTATCAGTCTTTAAAGTTGAAACAGTACCATTTGCAAGTAGATAAGTAGATCATCTATCTTTTTTTTTTCTATTTCTTATTAAAAATGGGAGTTTTTAATAAGCCTAATTCAGTGGTTTTTAATATTGACTGCACATTAAAATTGCCAATGAAGCTTTTAAGATATCAGTCATTTTTTTAAAAAAAAGTATCTGGTTGTTTCTGGGTCGACTATCCCTGGGTGAATTACTTTGCAGGAGACCTTAATTGTTGCTGTTTTTTGAAATAAATGTTGATAATAGAATGGTCTGTGGTTTTATTATATAAGAGTAGTACAGTTTTAAGATATGGTTTCATTGATGAAGAACTGATCAACGTACAGTGATCCGAAGGTATACAAAGTACTCAGAGAAATGCTCAGCTGTCACACGTGAAAACGAGGAGTGGCGCCACGTTGGAGGAGAGCGGCCAACAGACATCTCCTCAAAGCTGATTCCCTCTAAGAAGCCTGGCTTCTCGTTGAAAAGATAGGATTTTAAAGTAGGAAAATACAGTCTTAGGAGACGTTAGAATTTTGGGCGAGCTTTCCTTATTTGCTGTATTAATTTTGTATCTCCAGAGTTATCCATTATGGTAGAGTCGCCATCTGTGTCACCACAGCGAAGCTTGACATTTGCCTAATTGTTGCTAATTTGATATTCTTGTTAATTGTTGTGCCTCCAGTTAGGCAGTGGGCTTGGAACTTATTTGCCTATTTGTTTTTGTTTTCTGGAGTGAAATGTGGGAAGATTCTGAAATGACTGCAGACAAGCTGTATCGATGTGAAGGTTGAGAGCACAGTTTCTTTCTTTGTTTTTTAAAGTTTTAATTTTTATTAGTATTTCCCTCTTCCTGTCCTTCATCTGTTGATCCCCTTCCCATTTGAAAAAGATCTGTCTCCCCATTTCCCTATTATCTCTTATTTTGTTCTTTATTTATCTTTGGGCTTCTCGTACAAGAAAAACCATGCAAAGTTTAAACTTGTGTGTCTGATTTACTTCACTTAACATTATAATCTCAAGGGGCATCCATTTTCCTGCAAATGATTCAAATGTATCCTTTTTATAGCAGAGTAGTACTCCATTGTGTATAAATACTACATTTTCTTCACTCATACATCTGTCAGTGGGTGTGTAGGCCATTTCCAGTATTATGTCGTGAGTTGTTCTGCTATAAACATAGATATGCATGTATCACTGTAATATGATGTCTTTAACCCATACAGGAAGATATCTAGAAGGGATTTTCTAGTTTTAGTTTTTTGAGAGATCTCCGTAATGATTTTCATAGTGGTTGTGTTAGTTTATATTCCCTGCCAACAATGTAGATTCTTTCCCCCACAGCCTTACCAGCACTTGTCATTATTTGATTTCTGTAGGACAGCCATTCTTTCTGGAGTAAGATGGAATCTCAGTGTTGTTTTAATTTGCTTTTGTATAATGGCTAGAGATACTGGACATTGTTTCATGTATCTCTTGGCCATTTACACTGTTTCTAAGAAGTGTCTGTTCATTTCAGTTGCCCACTTTTAAATTACACCTTTACATTTGGGAATGTCTAATTTTTTTTGAGTTCTTCCTATATTCTAAATACTAGTCCTCTGTTGAAGGAAGAGCTGACGCAGTTTTTGTTCTCATTCTGTAGATTATCTTTTTACTGTGTTGGTTCAGTTTCTGAAGCCAGATTGTATTTTAATCATGATGTTGTAAACTTGGGCAAGCTGTTTGGTTTGCCTTAGTTTTCCCACACAGCAAAACTGGAATAATAGTTGTAAATGCCTCATAGGTTGTTGTAAAGATCAAGTATCTTAAGCACTTACTGTGTAACAGAGCCATGGAAGTGTTGGCTGCTTGGAGGAGTGATGCTGGGTAAAATCTCTGGTGCATAGGGTCTTGTTAGGTCAACTTATGTATATTAAATGTATTTTGCTAGCTATTTTTTTATTTTCCAAGTATTTGGCCTTATCATTTAAGAAACAGCTTCATTAGTTTGTGATGTCAGTCGCTGTATTTTTCTGACCTGCAGGTGCCTTAATGTTTGTGGCATGGATGAGTACTGTTAGCATCGGTGTGCTGATTGCCCGGTTCTTCAGACCTGTGTGGGCGAAAGCTTTCTTCTTTGGTGAAGCAGTCTGGTTTCAGGTAGGTAATGGAGAAAAACAAAATAAAACAAAACTGAATGCAGTTTTCAACATAAACTATGTGGGCTTTTTTCCTTTATGGCTGTAGGTTTTAGATCCTCCCCCTGTCTTGTCTCCTAATTAATTGAGAGTAGACATAAGGTACTTGATAGAGAGGCAGGTCGGATTCGAGAATGTCAGGGCCACGGGTCTCCCTTTGCATCATGGCCAGTGGCACCCACACATGCCCCCTCCTGACACCTGTTTGTGTGTAGACCTGTGAGAACAGCATTCACCAGCACTCTGAGTGGAGATGAGTCAGGGAGGCCTGGAGTGCAGAAGAAAGAGGCAGTGGTGCTTCCTGCCCATCCGAGCAGGATTCGGTCCTCCGGTTAGGGGCCATGCAGATGGGGCTGTCCCTCACTTGGCAGTCAGTACCATCTATCTCCTGAGTCAGTGGGAAGAGATACTAGAAGTGTCCTTTGTGTTGTCTCTTTCCATGGGATTAGGAGACAGTTTTCTAATGGCAGTATAAGCAAGAGTCATAAATAATATAGAGCAAGACAAGCTTACCTTTCATGGGTTGTGTGGCCTGTCAGTGTTTGCACGTACAGTGGAAGACCAATGGGTATGTGTTGAGTTAGAAAGGATTTACCTGCTTGTGGGAAAAATACTGCTGGTAGAACAGTTTAGACGTTATCAGGGGATATTCTTCACGCTTCACATAAACTTTTAGTGTTGGAGCTTTCTCCTATCTGACCTCATTTCTCATTGTTGGCTGGCGGGGTTGTTTTATTTGTTCTCCCTAGTGCCGGATGCCTGGCTCCTGCTAGCTACTGCTCTGCTTTTCTGGGTGTGCTCTTTCCCACTTGCACTCTCTCACTTTTTCTGTCTCTCCTCCAGTCTACTCCTGTGGGTGTTCCTAACTGGGAGACTCTATGAGGTATAATAAAAAAATACAACGAATGAAGGTTTGTATGAAAAACAGTTTATTTTGGGAAAAGACACCTTGCCGTCAGTCACCCTCAAGATCCCCTCGCTGCAAGCACACTTACCCCACGATTCTGGCCACTTTCTGAAGCAGTTCTGGGAGTCCTCTTGCCCGAGTATCTTTAGTTGCATTGTGGCTGTGGCAGTGTCCCAAATCATTTCGAAACCTTTCCCATTCATGGTCATTTCGAATTTGTGAAAGAGCTGGAAGTCGCTCTGTGCCAGATTTGCTGAGCAAGGTGAATGAAGAGGCACTGTAATGTTTTTACAAAGCTGCATTTTCATTGGATGGTACTAGGCAGCAACGTTCGCAGATTTTTTTGGCCACACCTTGTAAAGACACTCATATGAGGACTTTCCCAACTGGCAGGAAGTGACAAGAGGGGTGAAATTAGTGTGTTTGGAGAGAGTGGTAGAGTTTTAGGAGATTAATGGCAATGTGTCTTTTACTGTAATAGAAAAATAAACTTCCCATAATATTTTTTGATCACACCACATATGTTTCCTCATAATTCAAATCCTCCACTATCTTTAAAAGCGCTGTATGTGTGTGTGTGTGTGTGTGGTGACATTTACATGTAGGGTGGGTATATATCCTCTTTGCCTGAATAGTTTTGGTTTGTACCAGTTATCTAAGGCATAATCAAGTATAGTGCCTATTTCACTCATCATATCTCTTGATTTGTATAATAAATTATATGTTTCATATATTTTTGCTCATTTGCTCAGTTATATCCCAAGCTCCTTAAGAGGCAGCATTTGCTGTTGCCTTCCATCTCTTTGCACCTGTTGTAGCACAGACCTTGGCGGTGAACCTCCATAAATATCTTGGGAGGAAATGAAGGCCTTGGCAAGTCAGTGTGCTTCATGGGAGAAACAGCCATTCCTGCTCCTCTGTCGGAAAGAAGTCTTAGGAAATATTTTTGAGCGATGGGGAGGGAAGCGTTGAGTGTTCTTTAAAGTTTAATGCATATAAACCTTTCATTTTCACTGACAGTGAAAGGTGATTAGATGTCAGGTGGATGCAGGCCTCAGTGACGTGCCCCCCGTGATCTGTCCCTTGTAACACCAGCTCTTTCTCCTGCGCGGTTATCTGCCATGTCATTGTGTCATGTCACCTTGCAGCTGCACCGGATGCTCATGGTCACCACATCTGTGCTCACCTGCATTGCTTTTGTTATGCCTTTTATATACAGAGGAGGCTGGAGTTGGGTGAGTATATCTCAAAGAGGATGTTTCTGATACAAGCTATTTTGATGTCAGAGCAAATTCTATTTTGTGCTCAAATGATGGGTAAAAAGACATTTGTCTGTGTCCTTTCTATTTTGAGTTATCTGATGAGAATTTCATAAGGTTAGGGGTCAGGGATGGAGTGATATCAAGCACATTTTCTTGGGAAGTGCAATATTTTTAAAAAATTTGCATCAAATATGTATACTGTAGTTTTAGTGAGTTTTTGCATTATAGAGTAGCTAAAGTTCAAAGTATGATATCTAAGGAACATGAATAATATAAGTGGTTTCCTCTAACTAGTACTATGATGACTACTAAGGTCACATAAATTCCGTTCCTATCATGTGACCAGCTGTTGGAACGGCTTTATATGACTTATCAAATTTCCATCACAAATGAAAGCGGTATTGATAACAATACTTTGTCACAAATGAAGAAATGGGGGCTATTCCCAGGGATTTATCTTTAGGCAGATCTCTCCCTTGGCTCACAGATTTATCATCAGCAGAGCTCAGGACTTCTGCTGGCATTGCTAGGACATGTCAAATTTAGCATGTCCAAAATGGAGTTCCTCATCATCTCTCTCAGTCCTGCTGTCCGAAGCAGCACTCACAGATATGGGGGGCTGGCTGTGCAGAAGTTAAATGCATTCTTCTATAGCCAGATGACTTGGGTTCCAATCCTGCCATCATCACATATTATTTTAGATACCTTTGGGCAGGTTGTGTAACTTCTCTGTCCCTCAGTTTACCCATCTGTGAGATGGTGATTGTGTATTTCTCTGTCACACACTTTCTGTGAGGACTGGGAGTGAATAAATTGAAAGCACTTAGGGTAGTTCCCTGAACATTCTAAGTCTTTTTAAGAATTTTGTTGTTGCTTGCTGTTTTTTTTTAAATTAAGTGGGACTACCCTTTTATATCTCCAAAATCTGAGTTATAATTTTATCCTTGTATAACTTGAGTCTGTGATTTGAAAGTTGTTTTTGGTATCTCCCATTTGTCAGTCTTTAGTTTTTATTTACAAAGACTCCCTTGGCCTGGACACAGCTGTGTCCCTGTTCTGGGTCATAGATTTATAGTCTATGGGAGCAACAGACCATAGTGCCACTCAGGGTACGAAGTATGTCTCAGGGTAGAGACTCCTCTTGGTCCTTCTCTCAAGTGTTTGAATGGAATCGTTGTACAAAGTGGTCTGATTCAGCTCTCTGCTGTTTTGAGGAGCACCCAGCCTCAGTAAGGCAGGAGTGTTGCAGAAATCCTTGTGATTCTGTGTTGATTCTTCTTTCTTGAGTTAAATCTTCATTCAGCACAGTGGTCATGAGTGAACCAGACTCTTTTTCAGCTCTGGAGTTCCAGGGAATCATACGGATCTCACAGCTTAGAGAAGCACTGAGGTTTAAACCGATGATTACACTGCACTGAGATGCTTGCCCTTGACGTGTGGACCCGAACTAGACCCAGTGGGGCTGCAAATAGTGTGGTGTTGGTGCTCATTTAACACCCTTATGAGGGGGAGGCAGCATCCTCTACGTGGACTCCACCACAGCCGTGTACCCACTCTGTGGGCTTGGGGGCGGTACTTGATATCTCAGCCTCAGTTCCCCTGTTTGAAAATCGGGGTATTGATAACCAGCGGTCAAGCATTGTGGTGAGCATTAGCGACGATGTATGAAAAGTGCGTGCCTGCTACAAAGTAGAGACTTGGTGAATGTTGCCTATCACCACCACCACCATCATCGTCACTGAATGTTCATGTATAAGAGCATGGGAAAACTCCAACAACACGCTTGCATATATTGTTTTTAACTTGAGGATTTAAGTTGATAAGAGAGCTGAGAATATTAAAACAATATGATTTTGTCCAGCATGCAGGTTACCACCCCTACCTTGGTTGTGTAGTGATGACCTTGGCAGTTCTGCAACCTCTGCTGGCAGCCTTCAGGCCATCTTTCCATGACCCAAGGTACTTACAGCTCTGATCTACTTGCTCTCAGTGTGGATAGCATTAGTTGGCAAACAAATCGCCTTTCAAGTGGAAACAATTATCAGCTTATAAAGTTAAAAAAAATAAACTATGGTATTTACTTTGAAAGGCTTCGAAGCGTATTTCGGATATCTAATTCCTAGGCAATAAGGGAAATCACCTGTTTTTTATTTCCTTGTCCTTCCATCAATATTGGAAATATTGATTGATCCTTTATTTTGGTAGAAGGCAAATATTTAACTGGACTCACTGGAGTGTGGGAACAGCTGCTAGAATAATAGCAGGTAAGTAATTGTGATGCCATTTACTTATAATTGCTGGTTGCTTGCACTGTAAGTTGTAATCTGGTTTAAATGATTTTTAGATACATTAGTAATTGGAGTAGTTGGTTGTTGAGGAGAAATCAGCCTTAAACATTGAAATCCAGAAAGTAATTTTTGCAGATAACAATTTAAGTACTCATTTCAGGTTTAAGTTTTTAAAAATGACGAAAAATTTTTTTAAGACTTCTCTTTTTTTTCAAGCATTTGTCTTTGCCAGCAGAATATACTATGCCGATATCAAATATTTGAGCAGCTCTAATTGAGGGTCATTTTGTGATCGGGTTGGGAGGTTGTGGGGTCCACCCCCCCATCCCAGGTCATTTCCATAGGGCTTGTACCTTCAGAAGATGTGGTTTGCTAATCGCAAGTATGATTATTTAATATCTTTTGATTCTTTGTATGGTGAACCCCAAGACAAGTGTCTGTGACCCTAACCTTTCTGTAGCCTGTGCGGCTCAACAAGGAAGAGAGAGCACAATCAGCGTTGGTTTCCATATTTTTCTCCCTTATATTGCAGACTTAAAACATTTTGCAAAGTTTGGGTGCCTCTTTTAACAACTCAGAGGTCATATTTGATCCATATAGTATCGCAATAAAAAAGACTAAATTAATTATTTGGTCTTAAATATTAATCTTATTTCTTAAACTTTTAGTATGTGTTAATTGATATACACGTACATGATTATCTCTTTCAGTGGGGAATTTTTTTTTTTTTTTACACTTAGTGGCAGCAATGTTCCTAGGAATGGATTTACCAGGATTGACTCTTCCTGAGCCACAGAAAACCTATGCAATGATTGGATTTGTCATCTGGCATATTGGGACTGAGATAGTTTTGGAGATACATGCCTACCGACTCTCTCGAAAAGGTGAACTGCTTGAAAAACCATTTTTTTGTGGAAGCACTTTTATACAAACTACTGAAATACAATTTTAGCTTCCTGGGGCTAGTGATCGGCAGTTGCGTGGCAGATCATTAATAGTTTCTGGTGTGATCACTCAGCCAGTGGTAGAGGTTGCGGAAATTGTTTGCTTTAAAAAAAAAACGTACATTGGTATTAGAATTTGAGAGGAAAATGTAACAGAAGGGGGTTTAGCTTTAGAGAAGTCTTTTTTATAAGCACTTTCACTTTGCACGCTGCTCTGACCTGGAGCCACACACTGGGGAACTCCAGATGCCAGGTACTGAGGGAACCTAGGTGGAGAAATAGGAGAGCTGGGTCAGTACAGGGCAGAGGTGCAGCCAGGTTTCACAAACTTACGGTGTGCTCTACTGTAGAGTGCAGTGTCCTTGAACACGTAGCGAGATAGGACCCACTTTGCTGGTGCTGTCTAGTGGTTAGGTCTGGTTTGGCTTTACTGCTAGGCCGTCAAGTTATCTATAGCCACAGGTGAAGAACTCATTACATCCTAGGCTCGGTGTCTTCTGTGTCCCATCTTATTCTCAGCCCCCGATATTAGTGACCTTCTAAAAACAGAAACTCTGTTGTTCGTGTTGTGAATCTAGGAGCCTGGGCCTTTTAGGAGCCAATTAGTAAACATCTGTCTGCCACTTTTGGTTCTTAGCTGGGTTATACACACGGGACTTCTGGTGGCCACTGAATTATGGCTAACTGTTTAAAATACATATGTACTTAAAACTTGAATTGTTATACGTTGGCTTGCTTTAGTCATTCCACAGTGTACATATAAGAACATCATGTAGTATACCGTAAGTATATACAATTTTACCTGTTAATTAAGAAAGCAAAAAAATTTTGTTTTCAAAAGCTTCGAGTGCTAAGATTTTGGCATAGTGTTTATTTCCTAGAAGACAGCTTTTTAAAAGTCCTTTTAACAAATGTGTTCATGGTCAACTTGTCTCAATTTGTGAAAGCCTTAATTAAATATTCAGGAGGTTTTGTGACATTTCGTAGTTTGAAATGGAGGACTTACCCCCTGGAACTGGTGAACAGTTGGAATCAGGTTTTATTTTATTTTATTTTTTGAAAGTTTACCTGCCTAACAGTGTCCTTACAAATTTATGTTGTTCTTGACAGTCGAAATATTGGATGACGATAGAATTCAGATCCTTCAGTCACTCACTGTATCTGAAGTAGAGGTAAGTCTTTGTTTTCTTATTTATTGACATAGATTTTAATCTTGGTGCTTTGCTTTATATCTCAATTTTTCTTTCAGGGCCATACTTTTAAAAAGATGGTGTTGGCAGTTTATGTTTGTGGAAATATGACTTTTCTTATTATATTCTTATCTGCGATCAGCCACCTATGAACAAGTAAAGACTATTTTCGTGGTCCTGTGATAATTATCATCAAATCAAATAAACTTGAAGTTTGTACTAATTGTCTGGAGTATGTTCATGAGTTCCAATTTGGAAGACCAAGTTTGTGTTTACAGAGGAATTCTGATGTGTAGTCTTTAGAGATTAAAATTCAGTAGGGTCATTTAGACTGTAAACTGTTGTGAGACCCTGTATGTAACTCTGCATTTAAAGGCAATGTTGTACTTGAGCAGAAATGACTCTCAGATATTCCTTGCCAAGATTTTAAGAATGTTAGCATTCAAAAGAATAAACAAGAGGGGCCAAGGATTCAGCTCAGTGGTACCGTGCCTTCCTCATAAACACAAGGTCCTGAGTTCGATCTCCAGTACTAGAAAAAAAAAGTGGGGGGATAAACAAGAATGATAAGAATGACCTGGACAAACAAAACAGATGCTTACCAAGGAGATTGTCTGAAGGTAAAATATTTTGGACTACAAAGCTGCTTTGGTGCTCTAAAGAGAATGTTTATTTTTACTAATTCATCTCGTCTTTGGATTTTTTCAAAAAGAAGCTATGTTTCTGGGACATGTTATTTGCTCTGTATATCAATACTTGTCTTGTGCAAGGTAGAGGTGGGACTGACTCCACTGTAGATTTCATTAACATTTACATATTGTTAGTATTATAATTTCTTTGTTAGCAGTGAAATGCAAGTAGGCATTTTTTATTTTTATTTAATTAATTAATTAATTAATTTTTTCTTTTTATTGAGGTTATTGGTACAATCTAGGTGTACAATACAATTACATTCATCATTGGGATTCTGTACCTTTACATAATAGGTCTT